TGATCCTCCACATCAACATGACCGTCATAGCTTGATTAGTACCTCAACTAAATGCAAGTACTTTCTTCTTCACCCTAGCTAGGTTCTTTGGCCGCCAAGCCATCGCTTGCCCTTCACCCTTGCTTAGTACCCCAAAGCCTTTCCTTGCTATCTTCACCATCTCAAGCCATCAAGTCACATCTTGTGTTGAATCATCCATTTATTTGTATTGTTATCTTTTTTATTTCAATTTAGCAAGCTTCAAACATGAGACCATTCCATATGCAATCCCTCATGTCTCATTAATTAATTCTTACCGTGCTTGCTTTCACATAGTACATGGAAATCCCACAATAAATAAGCCTTTCATTGAATTCCATTTGCATTGTTGTTTTATGCTTAAACTAGATTGTTTATATAATAACACATCATTTTGGCTTTATACAATTTAATCAAATATCTATGAGATAACCAATTTCCTATCCAACACTTAGTGAATATGTTAGATCTTTAATCGTGTTGTCGTTCAATCATCCAAAACCCACTAAAGGATTAGATGCACTTTCAAATACGTCTTGCTTCATCCGAGGAAGTCAGCGTGGGCGCTAACCTCCTTGCTTTGGGTATCCCTAATATCGCTACCCAACACATAGTTTTCACCACTGAGATGTTCTAACAAAGAAAAAAATTGTGAAAGATGCACTGGTTTGTGAACCGTTGGAACAAAACAATTAGAATCAAATAAATAAAACAGACTATGGCCCCGTTTGGCACAGCTCACCTTCACTGGTGAAGTTTTTTTTGTTTTTCAGCTCAATGAGCAGCTCTACAGGTGAAGATGAACTGTTTTCTTCATCCCGTTTGACAAAACAGCTTCTTAGGAGAGGAAAAAAGAATAAAGTACCAAACTACCCCTATCCTTTCCCTTTTCTTCCCTTTATTGCCATCTTCCTCCCAAGTAAGGATGGCAACGGGGCGGGTTTGGATCGGGTGGAGTCTCTGGGCACCCAAAACCGAAACCCGAAATTAAAACCCGAACCCGCCCCAAACCTCGATTCGGGTGAAAATCCATCCCCAAAACCGAAACCCGCAGATCCCTAAAACCCGACGAATTAACCGAAACCCGAGAATATTATAATAAATCAGTAGAGACAACAATACAATACATGATATATTAGCAGAATAGCTTGCTGATACACCATGAAAGTACTAGCAAGTAGCAAGCAATGTACAGAACATAAGAGTAGTAGCCTAGCAGGCTAGCAGGTTGCAGGTAGCCGATAGCCATGTCCACTATCTAGAAACATCAAACATGCAGGTCTATGGCAATGCCATGTATAGACTACTGAGAAGCAACCCAAGTTCAGTACAGAGAGAGTAGCTCATTACTTGAATGTTCAACGCATTGTAAATTCACAAGTTAAATATAGAAGGAAACAACAGCAATACCATTTCTTCATCTTTTTCATCAAGCCAAGTCATCAAAGCACCAACAAAAGTTGAATAATGAGGCCCTGCATGGATATAGTATTCACAAATTAGTTTTACAACTTATACAGAATGAAGAACCTCTGCTTACAGAAATTGCACTTACATAACATGTCGTTATGAGACCATGCTTGCATACACATAAGTGCCTTAATCATTGATGGTGCAAGGCTACTATGATGTGGACATTTCTTCTATCTTAGAAATATCACTGCTTAGACACTTCCTAATTGCCAAAAAACTGTTGCATATTTTGGGGAAGAAAAGGTTGGCTGTGACATATTTAGTGCCTGATAGTAGCTCAGTTACATCATAGAACATCTTCAACCTATCACAAAGCTCTCTAGCAAACTTCCAATCTTTTGTAGATGGAACACATGGAGCACGAGAAGCAAGGTGCTCAAAAACATCTTGGTAAACTAGTGTAGTGCTAAGCATAGTATAAGTAGAGTTCCATCTAGTTTTACGATCAAGAGCAATTCTTTTTTATATTTTCCTTCCATTTGTGCTGCCATTTTCTCAAATTTCTCATGTCTTTTAGGAGTGGCAGACCAGTATGCAACACTATCACACACTTTATCAATTCCCTTCTCCATGACACTCGTTCCATCTTTCACAATCAAATTTAAAATATGTGCAGCACAACGCGTATGAATTAATTTGCCCTTCAACATACAAGAGCAGAGTGGTAACTTGCCTTCTATAGCAGCCTTGTTCTTTGCAAGGTTATCACCATCGGTGCCAATCATAGTCTTCATCATGTTATCATTGACACTGCAGTTGTCAAGAGTTATAGTGGATAGATTCCTCTCAATATGCCAATCTAGGAGAACTTCATGAAGAACCTCTGCTATAACCTCTGTTGTATGTGGTGCTGGAACATAAACGAACCTACAACAATAAAATATGATAAAGTGATTGTGCTGGACATATTGCTCTCAATAGTCAATAGACAAAATGCATAACACAAGAACACAAAATGATGTGATTTAATGTTACCTAATAAGAAAGCTTTTTAGCTTCCAATCTTCATCAAGAAAATGGGCTGTAACTGCCATGTAACCTTTCCTCTGGTGGTTTGCTGTCCACAAGTCCATAGTAATAGCAACACGAGAACTCAATTTCTTGATATAATTCACCATTGATTGCTTTTGCACTTGATACATATCGACGATATCCTTCCTAGTTGTGTTTCTAGAGACTAACTTGAATGTTGGCTGCAATGCAGCACAAAACTTGCGAAATCCAGCATAGTCCACCATGGAAAGAGGATACTCATGGACAATAATCATTAAAGTAAGTTCTTTCCTAGCGACATCTTGATCAAACACATACTTCTCAAATGTGACACTGCCATTTTTTGGGTTTGCAGATAATTTAAGAGTAGACTGTGTTAAACCTTTTCTACTAGCTCTGTCCTGACATAAAACAATGTGATTCTTCAAGTGAGTTGTACCATTTCTTGTTTCCCCAGCTAAATGTTTTTTACACCATTTGCATTTTGCTTTCCAAACCCCACTTACATTAATCAAATCAAAGTCTTTCCATACTTCAGATCTTAGCTTCCTCTTACAACCAACAGGGACATTATCTTCTACCTGTACCAAATCATAATTACCTACAGTTGTAGAATCAGTTGCCGGTGCTGCTGAACCGGATGGCGGTGTTGCTGAACCAGATGCAAGACGAGGACGAGTTTGAGGACGAGAACCCACAGATTAAGATACAAAGCAGACTTGAGATCCACTTGTAGCACCACCGAGTCGACATTGCTCACTTCTGTCAAATGAAAAAGGCAAAAATATACATGGCCACATGAGAAGATTGAGAAATGGCACACATTGATATAGCGACTTGAGATCTACTGGAAGGGATGTCTTTATCGCACTGATGGATCTTCTTTGGATTCACCGGGCGAGGTGGGGAGGTCAACGACATCGCGGACTGGCGATGGGGAAAGGTCGTGGAGGCAAGGCTGGCGATGTCGGCGACGTCACGGATCGGCGGACTACGCGAGCCTTGCCTGCCGCTTTGGTGCGGCCGTCTGGATGGGGGTCGAGGGCTAAGGCCGAGAGGAGTGAGGGTTTGAGCAATCGAAGCTTATATACTTAGGGTTGGTTGTTGGGCTTTTAGTGGGTTGCATTTTTGGGGGGCCGATGGAGCACCACGAGTGAAAATTAGGATCCACCCCAAACCCACGGTATTTCGGGTATCCGAACCCGCAAAACCGTGGACGAAAAAAGGCACCAAAACTGAAACACGCGCATATCCGCCCCAAACCCGATCTGCTCGATCTTTACTCCCACGGGCGGATGCCCGATGCCCGAGCTTCGTTGGTGGATGGCGATCTTGGTCCCGATCCGGCGCCCGAAGACCATGCCCGACGAGCCGCGCCCTAGCGGCGGCACCCTACGAACCGCTCTCCGGCGCGCACCACAGCGAATCTGCGACCGGCGGCCGCGCCCTGGTGGCGATGCTTGGCGAGCAGCGCCTCCGGCAACCACGCCCATGTTTAGCGCGCGCCCGGTGAGCCGCTGCCTCGGTGATCATGCCCTCGGCGCCCGAAACCTCAGCGACTCATGACCGGCGGCCACGCCCCGCCGCCATGCCCGACGAAAGCACCGCCTCCGGCAACCACACCCATGGTCGGCGATGATGCTCGTGAGAGCGCAAGACTCCATGGTCACGCCCGCGCTAAGCTGGCGATGGCGCCCGGCGAGCCACGCCTGGTCAAGGCCTCGCTCGTGAAGCCAGCGCCCGGCGCTGAGCCTCGCAACAGCGCCCTCGGCCGAGCCACGCCTGTGTGCTTTCTCTGTGCATGCGTGGGAAACTCATCATTTGTGTCTTGTGGGTCCCACATGTGGCGGGGAAGATGAGATAAAGTACTTTTTTCAAACTTCTTCCCAACTCATCTCTTCATGAAAGGAGAAGAAAAAAACAGCTTCACCATGAAGCTATTTTGGAAATAATTGTTTGGCAAAAAAAAACAGCTCACAATAACTCATGAAGTTGCTGTGAGTTGTGCCAAACATACCCTATATGAAAAAAATGTTAAAGAAAAAAAAAACACAAACTTTGTAATGAAAAAAAAGCAAGCTACTTGCACATAACAGCAAACATCCCCAAAAAAATTTTCTTCTTCTATTATTAACATTAATGAAAATAATAATTAAGAAGAAATTGGCAAAATTATTTTTGTGCACTTAATTTTTCGAAAGCTGAGCAAGAGAATTACTGAGTAAATTTATTAGAGAGCATGCAAAGAAAAAATCAAACAAAGGACAATAAGAAAAGAGAACAGACAGCTAAGAGACTGCCCCCCGCCAAACCCAACTAAACGAATAGAGAACGAAATGAAAGAAAAATGAAAAACTTTTTGCAAATCGATATTTCTGACGAAAACCTATAGCAATGATAGGGGCGGCCTGCGCCGGTGGGGGCCATTCGATTATCACGTGCTACATCATTTGTAGCAATCGGACAGTCTCACAGTGAGTGATTTAGGTCCGTTCTCATCACTCGCCATTCAACGGATGGCCCAAATGTCACACCGGGCAGCTATGCTTCTTCTCCTCGTCGCCGCCGTGCTGTCCGTCACCGCCGCGGCGTCGGCGGCCTCCTCCCGTTCCAACCCCCACCCGCTGGACCCCCTCACCCCTGAGGAGGTTACGGCGGTCCGCGCCGCGGTGCTCGCCTCCCCGCTCGTCCCCGCCCGCCCGCTCACCTTCCACTACGTCGGCCTCGACGAGCCCGACAAGGCCGACGTCCTCGCGTACGCCTACGGCGGCACTGGCACCGGGGGCTTGTCCTCGCGTCCGCCCCTGCCGCGACGGGCGCTCGTGGTCGCCCGCGCGGGCGGGCAGTCCCACGAGCTCCGCGTGGACATCGCCAGCAACGGCACCTCCGCCACCGTCCTCTCCCACGCCGTCCACCGCGGCGCGGGCTTCCCGATTCTCACGCTCGAGGAGCAGTTCGCGGCGGTGGCGCTGCCGCCCGCGTACCCGCCGTTCGTGGACTCCGTGCGGCGCCGCGGGGTGGACATGGACGACGTGCTCTGCGCGGTGTTCCCCGTCGGCTGGTTCGGCGGCGGCGGCGCCGGGGCCGGGGCGCCCAAGCGGGTGGCGAAGATGCTGTGCTTCGTGGCCGGCCCCACGGCCAACTTCTACGCGCGGCCGATCGAGGGCGTCACCATGGTGGTGGACCTCGACGCCATGGCCATCGTCGGGTACAGAGACCGGGTGACGTACCCCGTGCCCAAGGCCGAGGGCACGGACTACCGGGCGGGCAAGACCGGGCCGCCGCTCGCCGGGCTGCAGCCGGCGCCGGGTGTCGCCGTGCAACCGGAGGGCAGGGGCTTCCACATTGACGGCCACGTCGTCAGGTAATTCAAAGAAGAAAAATATACAGTTCAGTACCAACGTTGCTCTATTATCAACTGATTTCGGCTGATCTAGTTTAAGCTGATTTCGGCTGATTTCAGATAATTCAATAATATTCTGTGAGAAAGAATAAGCTGAAAAAAAAAGTGGATCAGCCGAACATGTTAGTCAAGAATTTGGCACTTGGTTGACTATTCAAATGCACTCTTCTGCTGATAGTGTAGCAAAGGGGTTGTTTAGTTCTGTTTATTTGCAGTGTAAAACGGCCTGCTTGCTTTGTGCATTTGAAGTTTCAAGTTGATAGATTGAGGGCTGCACATGCAGTTGCAGTTGCACCATGTAATTGGTCCAACTTTGCAACTTGCTTATACTGTGACAAGACATTTTCAGAAAATCCAACTCACAATATAATCTTGGCTTCTGGAAGCACACCACGTGGGCTGGTCTCATATTTTGCAACTGAAAATTTGTCGGTGCATTTCGAACTTCAAACGCTGCGTGATGATAGGCTGATACGCCATATATAAATAGCAGGCTTCATGTGGATAGCAATTGTCCAAATAAGGGCTTGCTTCCGGTCTCCGAAATGTCAACCGCACGATGCCGCACCGAATTTCAAAAGAGGTAAGGATGTGATTGGTTGCATGGATATCTGATTGGTTGATTGGTTGGATGGATAAACCGAACCTGAATATCCATAATATAGAATATTCTAGGTAGATGCTGGATATTCTAACCCTAAAAAAACTAGCGGACCAAAATATTTACATGTTGATTAGCGTATGTTTTTGTGTGACAATTAGAGTAATATAGTGCTAATTAACATGTTTTATTTTAAATTAGTGATTATAATTAGTTGTTATTATTTTTAAATAATAGATATAATTAGTCAAGCATTCTCATCTTATGCAATCTCATCCATCCAACCAAACAGAAAAATAATTCGTCCCATCTATCCAACCAAACAGACAATGTGGATATTCATATCCTAAAATATATGGATGGTCATATCCCATCCACCGTTATCCTCAAACCAAACACACCATAAGTACTGTATTTGTTAGTGGTGTTTGGATTGCATGATGTCCACGTTGATGACAAGGACCACTACATTATACATTTATACTACACTCGAATGCGACAGAGAAAAAAACCCGGCAATAATTAATTTTGACGGGCTTGAGAGTCCCCGTCTCCATCGATGTCCTTATCTTATTCCAACTACTCTTTTTATATAGATAATTAAATAGGTCATTATCAGATTGCGACTGAGTTTTTAAAGTTGTACTGTAGTACATACTAATAAATAACTAATATATGTAAGAGAATCGATAGTAATGGTGTAAGGTACTACTCCGTACTATTTATGTCTGCTTTGAAAAAAAAAATGTCCAACAACGGGGTGTTTTAGCCTCTTCTAATAATCATATTTTTATTCATGCACTTACAATATCTTATATATATATTTACACCGCTTTGTTACTATATTTATAATAATTTTTTTAGTATAGTTTATTGGACAGAGTGATGTAATTTGAGAATAACACAAATATATGTCAATTTTTTCAAAAAAAATTACAAATTATTTCGGTAGATTCCAGACATCAGAAAAATATACGTCAAATTCTTCACAAATTTCAAAAAATTACAAATTGTTTACAAATTGTGGTGGGACCAACCTCAACCTTATCCCTTCCTTTCCCTCAACCCTCTCATCGTCCAGTCATCCACCATCGTTCCCTATTCCTCTGCCACCGCATTCCAACCCCCATTCATCCCAACGCCACCACCAGCTACGATGGAGAGAGATCGCAGAAGGCATCACGAGGGGCGGCGGAGGCGACATGAAGTCCTTCCGTCAGCAGAAGGCGCACGCCGGCGCCGGCGCCACCAAGCCCACCGGCGGCGTCTCCAAGAAGGCGGCGGCGCACCAGCACTAGAAGGCCGCGCCCGCCCTCCACGTCCACCTGGCCCCAGGCACTAATCCCGGTCCCGATTCGCCGATCTCGTTTCCGCGCCCAGCCCCGTCTCAATTTGTCGCCGATCTCGTTTTCGCGCCCAGCCCCGTCTCAATCTGACGGACCGGGGAAGCAGGGTAAGCAAATCGACGGAACAAAAACCGGTTGCTGAGGCTGGTTAAAACAACCGGTTGTCCATTAGCTTTTCTGAAAAAAAAAGATCGTAGCTATCTTTTGCAGGAGTTTCAAATCAAAAGGTTATAAAAAATAGTCATGAAAATTGGCGTTGGGCCAATTCTTCTGCCACTGCAGGTGGGCCAACTGGGAGTTCCACGTGGGCTTCGACATGCGCGCGGGCACGGTCATCTCGCTGGCCTCGGTCCACGACGCCGACGCCGGCACGCGGCGCCGGGTGCTGTACCGCGGCTTCGTCTCGGAGGTCTTCGTGCCGTACATGGACCCGGTCGAGGAGTGGTACTACCGCACGTTCCTGGACGCCGGCGAGTACGGCCTGGGCCTCTGGGCGTTCCCGCTCCAGCCCGGCGCCGACTGCCCCGCCAACGCCGCCTACTTCGATGGCTCCTACGCCGGGCAGGACGGCAAGCCCGTCAGCGGCGAGAACAGGATCTGCGTGTTCGAGCGGTACGCCGGCGACGTCGCGTGGCGCCACACCGAGGCCGGGTTCCCGGCCCGATTGGTGAGCAAGCAGGCAGCAGGCATCGACTCTGAATGTCACGTTGTTTTGACGACGAGATTGTCGCCGTTTCATGCAGATCACGGAGGTCCGGCCTGACGTGACCTTGGTGGTGAGGATGGTGGTGTCGCCCGGCAACTATGACTACATTCTGGACTGGGAGTTCAAGACCAGCGGCTCCATCAAATTCGTGGTAACGTATCTGAATTCTGAAGCAAACGCAAGTCCGCAGTGACCGCTTGTGTTGTGTCTGGATGAGCTGAAATCGTACGATGCCCGCAGGTGTCTCTCACCGGCCTCCTGGAGGTGAAAGGGACGTCGTACACGCACGCCGACGAGCTCACGGCGGACGCGCACGGCTCGCTGGTCTCCGAGAACACGCTCGCCATCTACCACGACCACTACGTCACGTATCACCTGGACCTGGACATCGACGGCACCAACAACTCCTTCGTCAAGAACATCATCACCGCCAGGCGCAACACGGGGACCCGGCCACGGGCGGCGCCGACACGCCGAGGCGGAGCTACTGGACGGTGCGGCGCGAGGTGGCGGAGACGGAGTCCGACGGGCAGGCGGACGTCAACGCCGGGCCCGCCGACCTGCTGTTCGTGAACCCTGGCAAGAAGACCCGGATGGGGCACGAGGTCGGGTACCGCCTCATCCCGTCGGGGGCGACGGCGGCGTCCGTGCTGGCCGACGATGACTACCCGCAGCGGCGGGCGAGCTACACCAAGAAGCAGGTGTGGGTGACGCCGTACAGCAAGGCCGAGAAGTGGGCGTCCGGGCTGTACGCCGACCAGAGCACCGGGGCCGACAGCCTGACGGCGTGGAGCAGGAGGAACAGAGGGATCAGGGACGAGGACATCGTGCTGTGGTACACGCTGGGGCTGCATCACATACCCTACCAGGAGGACTTCCCGGTGATGCCCACGCTGAGTGGCGGCTTCGAGCTCCGGCCATCCAACTTCTTCGAGAGGAACCCGATTCTCAGGATCAGACCACCCAGCCCGCACGGCGCCTCCGCCAATTGCTCGTGCTATTCCAGGTGACGTGTCACGTGTGCCCGTGAAATGCAACTCAGATCACAAACCCTGCTCGAGTTGATGAATTGGTTGAGAACTTGAAACATTTTTTTTCCCGAAGGAAAGAGGGAATTATATTAAAATAGCACGGTACATCTTCAAATTACACATGAATCTGAAATATAAAAACATATTGCGTTCAGATTCTTTGATTTGTCTTCTAAACTTTGAAACAATTTGATTCGCCTTTCATCAAGAAAAGATCAATTGATCTGAGCAAGAACTATTTATTGGCAACGTACTTGTGGCAACCATATATAACTCCCAAACTCTCGAGGTCTCTCAGAAGTCAGAAATCAATGCGCTGATTCAATATATGAACAGGAGTGTATCAGGAAAAGGGTCCGTGTTGGTGACCCATCAATTTTGCATGAGCGCGCAGCAAAACGATCCAAAACATCCCTCGTCTTATTTGGTGATGCATCAGCATGGATATAAAGATATAAGGTTCAGATTGCACCAAACAGCAACGGACTGTGAGTTATGGGCCGGTGCCCGGTGCCCGGGGATGAAGCTGGAATTGGGTGGTACCATGACCTACTTGGGCCGGGCTCGCAAACCCTAACAACCTACCCATTACTGTACGAATCATGAAACGTTTCCGTATAACACGGGGGGCAGAGGGCACACGGGGGTGACACGATCTCCCCCGGGAGAAGCGGATCTTGCGGAGCTCTCATGTCCGCCGGGAGGGCGACCGGTCACAGTGATTGGACAGTGCAGCTGCACCTCGTCCCGGCAGCATGCTGCCTGCGTCCGCGTCTTTTCTGGTGCCCACATTCCCCAACGCCGCGCCCGTACCGCGTCCCGGTGCTTCCTCGTCCTCCCAGCTTGTCCTCTTCTTTCCACCGCCTTGCTTTTGGTCGCTCCAACGCCGCCGCTAGTACGTGCTAAACCATGGGGAAAAGGGAAGGGGAGGGGAAGAGGCTAGCGCGGAGCAGCGCCTGCTAGTGGCACTAGTTTACTGCTGCTGAGGGAGGGAACACGCTGTTGTGGAGCAGGTGAGTGAGTGAGTTAGTCGGGGTCAGGTGTAAAACGCAAGTAAAACGGCCGTTCATTGGATTGGCCTCTGTCCGCCTCTTCCCCTTTCGTTGAGCTTACTCCTTGGCGTGTGCACTATCCATCTGGTGATTTCGTCCTCAGTTGGGCTTGTGCTGCTGCCTGCTAGCGGTTCTCGATTTGGCCTGGAAAAGGTTTGTTTTTATCTTACGTTGGTTGGGGTTGGGAATCACAGGATGCGCCTTTCTGGTCCGCGTTCTTGATTTGTTGCTATCTCAGTTTTCAGGTTGAACAAACACGCGTGCATTCGGCGGGGGTTATCTTGGAATATCGTCTGCAAAGATGAGAAGATGACGGATCCGTTCCACGACTGCTTCGGTCCTTGGAGGAATTAGGCGTCCTAGTAGAATCCAAATGCAGAAATCAGTCTCCTGACAAAAAAGGGCAGTTGTGCACGTGGTGTTCGTCGAAAAGCCACCCCGCACTGAGGGAAACCGTCACAGTCGTCACGATGAGAGATTTTGCATCTTGCCTAAGCCAAAGCGCCGCCCAGGTTGTGCATTCCTCTTCCTCAAGTGGGCAGAACTTGGTGCAGTGTGCATACCTGGCACGCCTGCGCGGCAAGCCTTGCGTGGTCACCGTCACCTGGACCAAGGTGGCCTCGGGGCAGGCTTTCGCCATTGCCATCCATGACTACTCCAACCGTTGCCTCTGCAAGATGGAGGTTAAGCCCTGGCTGTTCTCCAAGAGGAAGGGTTCCAAGGTCATGGAATTGGATAGTGGCAGTGTGGAGATCATCTGGGACCTGTCAGCCGCAAAGTTTGCAGCTGGGCCAGAGCCACTCGGAGGCTTCCATGTTGCTCTACTCTATGATCTTGAAGTTATCCTTGTTTTAGGCGACCTGTGCAGGAGGAGGATCACCGGTTCTGTCAGATGCTTTGCATTCTGATGCAGTCATGATAGCTAGGAAGGAGCACGTTTATGCGAAGAAGGTGTATTCATGGCTTCGATTTTTGGACATTGGGCAGATTCATCACATCTCCATAGAGTGCGACACGGCAGGGGTGACGGATCCCAGCCTAGAGATTAGGATTGACAAGAAGAAAGTGTTGCACGTGAAGCGGCTGGCATGGAAATTCAGAGGGAACCAGACTATCTATGTCGATGGACTTCCAGTGGAGGTGCTCTGGGATGTGCATGACTGGCTATTTGGTTCCTCGAATGGATGTGCTGTGTTTTTGTTTCAGTCAGGCCACTCCATGGAAAAATTTTTGTTCAGAACATGCTCACAGAATGAAATGGAGGCTCAAGCACATCGTTTTGGTTTCACATTGATATTAAAAGCATGGAAGACTGAGTAAGCACTAGGGCAGAAACATAATGGCAGGTTTCTTCAATTATTCTGCTCTGAATGTTGAATAGTAACAGTAGGAATCTAGGATCTAGCAAGTCTAACAAGACCCTTCGCAAGAATTCCGTGCTTGTTACGTATGCTGTCCTAGCGGTAGTTGACAAGTTGAGGTTCCCTTTTGAATATGCATATGATCTTTGACATATCGTCAAAGGTATTTAGATAGGATGTGGGACTCTGGTGCTCAGGTCATTTAACATCATGTCTCACTATTTACACCTTTTGATGAGAAGTTCATTATAGAATACTAAAAATGATGTCTACACTTCTGCTGTCTTTGCAATTGTCATGTCGTGTGTTTAAAATGACACTCAGCACATATGGCATCAAATTGAACAAATCTGCCACCATTTAGCAAATATGTCCTTTCCTATCTATTCCATTGTTTTGTTTTTACCAAAGCATAACGGTGGCAATCAGTTCATTTCATAACTTTGCAATTCTGAGCATTCTGCACTTTCCCTCCCAATGTATTGCACATTAATGGATAAACATCTAATTGAGCTTTACTAACTAGATCACTGGGTACTGTTGAGAACTGAAAGTTAGATGTCCAGACCCAACATATACTAGTGATAGAAATAGAATACCAACGCTAGAAATGCAGCTTTCCAACACGTCCAACAATATTCTGTAAAAGGATTTCATGTTCCTAAGTTATATTGTGGTAATGCTTGTTTACAAGTTGAGATTTTAATATCCATATAATTTTGATATAGCAGGAGAGTGTTTGGATAGGATGGGGACTCAAGTGCTCATATTTTGTATTTTCATGCTATCAGCTTTAAACCTTTTGATCAAATATCCAAGAGTGACAGAAATGATACCTGCACTTCTGCGGGCCTTGTAATAATTGTTCCTTGCATGTTTAAAATGAGGGTAAGTAGGGATAGCATTTAGTTGGGAAAATCTTCAGCAGATTTTGTACCAAGCCTGCATCATTATATAAAAGATAATGGCAATTATTATTTTTTGTTTCTATTATATCATTTTATTTTTTCCCAAAGTGTAATGGTAGTAATCAGTTATACCATTTATTGTACTAGCGTTTATGGTAATCATGTGGGCCACCAATTTGAGCGTGCATGGCCGTGCGCTGCAGAAAAATAAATTCTAACAGGGAAATTTTGATTTTGAATATTCATATGATCTTCTGTATATGGAGGGATATTTAGAGGATGTGGGATTCGAGTGCTCAAATTTTCTGTTATCACGTCACCTCACATTTACACCTTCTGATGGAAGTTCTCTTGAACTTATCAACCTGGCTTATTTGGTTCCTCGAATGGATGTGCTGTGTTTTTGTTTCAGTCAGGCCACTCCATGGAAAATTTTTTGTTCAGAACATGCTCACAGAATGAAATGGAGGCTCAAGCACATCGTTTTGGTTTCACATTGATATTAAAAGCATGGAAGACTGAGTAAGCACTAGGGCAGAAACATAATGGCAGGTTTCTTCAATTATTCTGCTCTGAATGTTGAATAGTAACAGTAGGAATCTAGGATCT